ATTTATTTTTTTTCTAATAGTTGAAGTCCTTATTTATCTAATAGTGAACTTTTAACTATACCTTACCGTGCAAATTCGAAAATTGTTGTTAAAGTCTTACTTTCTCGTAAGACACTGTACAAATACTCACAATTAAAAAAAAAATTCTCAAAAATTTGCACGGTAAGGTATAGTTAAAAGTTCACTATTAGATAAATAAGGACTTCAACTATTAGAAAAAAAATAAATTTTAGTCATAATCTAATATTTTTTATTTAACATTGGTGGCGAAAGGGGTGACGAAAAGACCTCCTTAATATCTATAGAAAAATGTTTCGCGGTAGATGTATGTGGAACATGTATATATTTAGTTTATCCTCCTCTAAACATTTATAGAGGTGCTGCAATAGGTTGTACAAAATAACCGGAAAAAGCCGATAATAACTAGATAGGAAAGTCATGTGTTGGACACATCAGATTTTTTATAAACAAATTAATAGCAACATGTTTAGAAAAAATATTATTCAATATGGCGGCCATTTTGACAGCTGCCAGACAATTTTCAGTACACGATTATTATACAAAATCGTTTCAGAATTTCAAATTTACAATAAAAAAGTGGGTTTTAATTTAAAAATAAAAAATAAATATCGATTTTCTGCTATTTCCGGAAAAACTGGAAGTAGACCATGATGTCACAGAATAATTGAATCCACCATAAAAAATTATTTGTTCCAGTCTTTCAACTAAAAAAAAAATATTCCGATATCTAAATGAATAACAAAGATAAAGGGGGTGGAACTTTTAAGTAGCCCACCCAATAGATTAGACTGGGTCAAAAAAATGACTATTTTTTTTTAATATATCAAAATATCATTCAGGATGACAAAAAAAAATTCGCTATTTTTGATTTTTAGTCATAACTTGATGTTTAACGTTAGAAGTGTCAAAACTTTAAATTAAAAAAAAAATCCTTTTAACCTATTTTTATATAAAATTAAATTCTCTACAAAAAAGGTCTGATTGAAAATTTTCGTCAGACGAGCCGTTTCCGAGTAATTGAGCTTAATAGATCGATATGTTTTTTTCGATTTGTCCTATTTACTTTGAAATTTTGTAACTAATGAATCAATGAATATTTAAAAACGCTCACGTCGGATTCTTAAAATAAATTTAATGTTCTACAAAAAAGATCTTTTTAAATTTTTGCTTAAATTTAATTCTTTAAAAGTTATTCACGAAAGTTATTTTAAGATTGTTTATTCGAAAAGATTACCATTAAAATCGTAAGAACTTCCTTTTGTAGTCTAGCGTAATCTCTAAATTATTGATCAAGTTTGCTTAAAAAATATTATATACCGGGTGTTTTTGTTCTACAACTAACAATTTTTAATTTAAAATGTGGCTTTATTTTCAGGTATAATTATTTATTACAATATTTGAATATTTTCAAAAATATAGAGAGATCTACACATATATCTATTATTATTAATAAAAAGAACATACAGTGAGCATCATAAGTCTTACCCCATCTAACTAACTCGTTACTGGGGTCTTGTTAGGAAAATCGCCAAGACAGGTCGATTTTTGATTTTTACAATGTACATTTTTGCATAATAAGTTTACCCTTAATTTCATCCCTTACTGGAGGGTAGCAACCCTTTCAAAAAATTTAAATGGCATGGGGTGGTGAGTGATAGCTCATTTGAAAGGGGGTTTTATTCTCTATTCAACCGTACAAAAATTTTTGAAATTTGCTTCATTACGTGTTGATTTATTAATGTTTAAAAATAACAAAACCTCACAAAATAGGAAAGCAACTAGACTACCAGTGACCTTCTAATGGCAAAAAGTCTTACTTCACGTCTGAACCAAAACCGAAATCATGCAGGGCCGAATTTTAATTCTATGGATGAGTGCGCTACGTTCATTTCCGTTATTCTGAAACAACAGTCGAGAATTAATGAAGCAAATTTCAAATTTTTCTACACGGTTGAATAGAGAATAAAACCCTCTTTCAAATGAGCTATCACTCACCACCCCATGCCATTTAAATTTTTCGAAAGGGTTGCTCTCCCCTCCAGTAAGGGATGAAATTAAGGGTAAACTATTTATACAAAAATGTACATTGTAGAAATCAAAAATCGACGTGTCTCGGCGATTTTCCTAACAAGACTCCAGTAACGAGTTAGATAGGGGGGGGGGTAAGACATGGGGCTCACTGTATTTGTATTATTTTATTAGTTTTATATCAAGTTATTTAATTATATTTCCATTATTTTGAAGTTATCAATTAAAATACAAACTTATCAAAAACTATAACTTTTATGATCTCTAAAGAAGGTTAAATCATAGTTTTTTGAATTAATATAAGGTGATTTTGATCAAAGAGATATTTTTCTTTTTTTGCAACTTTGGCTAAACTTTAGCAGGTCCAGGATTAGACTTTAATGTTACGATTTTGTTTATAATTGCATATTAAGATTGTAAATATTTTAAGAGAAAAAAAGTGTTATAAAGTACTTAAATATTATTATATTATAACAAGATTTCCGAAAACTGATGCTAGACCAACATTTTCTTTAGTTGTTTGTAACACATTATTGCAAGAAAGTGAGAAAAAAAAAATAAATCAGAAATTACATTCATTATATTAAAAATTTTTTATTACTATTTAGTATTGAAAAATTTAGAGTACCTGAACAGTTTTTGCTTCAAAAATGATACAAAATGACGTTGAATTTTTTATTCTTTCGATCAAATATACCTGTCAAATTTGACATATTTTCAAAACTCAATTTATAGTTTTGATCAAAGATATGTTTTCCTTTTTTTGCAACTTTGGCTAAACAATGATAGGTCTAGGATTGGACTTGTACCTAAATATTATTATACAGGGTGTCCCAAATAAGAATGATCGATTTTAAATGTAAAAACACAGCTTATTAATTGCTCTAAAGAGATGGGGTTTTCACTAATTGATTTCGTTTATCCAAAAGTTTTTTTCAAGTTTGTTCACATTTTATCACATCAATACAGGGTGATCTATTAATGTTGGTCAAATTGAATGGAAAAAATATGTATTATTTTAAATGGAAGACCGTGTATATTTTGATGGAATTCAAAAGAGAGATTCATCTACTTTTTAAAAATGTATAGTTTGATATCTTTTGTTTTCTTAACAACACAGATTTTTGAGTTTTTAGGCAACTCTGCTGTTTTCTTTATTTAAAAACTGACATTAAATAAAATTAACAAAAAGAATTTGTTCAGTAATAAAACATAACAAAAATTTATTAAAAATTAGAAAACAAATATTTATAATGAATGAGGACGTAAAAGTTAAAATAAATGCTGTATGTGTCTACCCTCTTGTTCAATGCACATACGCAAGCGAAATTTTAAATTTTCAAACGATTTTTCTAACAAAATAACCGATATATTTTATAAAATATAAAAACGGCCTTTCATAAAGTACCCCCCTAGATGTTCCGACTTTTTTCAAAATCTAATCACTTCACGCCAGGCTGAAATAAAACTTAAGTTTAAAATTTAATGTTTTTTCCTTTTTCCGTTTTTGAGTAATTTACACATTTTCTTAAATATCTCAAATACGGTCCATTTTAGAAAAGTTTTGTATAGAATAAAAATTATAGAAAATTATATTACAAATAACTTTTGTTTGAACAATTTTTATAAAAAAATAATTTTTTTTGATTTTGTCAAATTTCTCGAATACGGACCATTTTAGGAAAATTTTGTATAGAACAAAAATTATAGATAATAATATTTTAAGTAACTTTTATTTAAAGAATTTTCTTCTCCAAAAGCAAATAACAGATATATTCCATAAAATATAAAAATAGTTACCTATAAAGTACCCCCCCAGATGCTCCGACTCTGCACAAAATCTAATCTGTTCATTGGAGGCTGGAATAAAGCTTAAGTTTAAAATTTATGTAATTTCCTTTATCCGTTTTTGAGTTTTCTTCAAAATTCGTATTTTACACATTTTCTCAAATATCTCGAATACGGTCCATTTTAGAAAAATTTTGTTTAGAATAAAAATTATAGAAAATTATATTTCAAACAACTTTTGTTTAAACAATTTTTATAAAAAAATATTTTTTTTTTCATTTTGTCAAATTTCTCGAATACGGACCATTTTAGGAAAATTTTGTATAGAACAAAAATTATAGATAATAATATTTTAAGTAACTTTTATTTAAAGAATTTTCTTCTCCAAAAGCAAATAATAGATATATTTCATAAAATATAAAAATAGTTACCTATAAAGTACCCCCTCAGATGCTCCGACTCTGCACAAAATCTAATCTGTTCATTGGAGGCTGGAATAAAGCTTAAGTTTAAAATTTAATGTAATTTCCTTTATCCGTTTTTGAGTTTTCTTTAAAATTTGTAATTTACACATTTTCTCAAATATCTCCAAACGGTCCATTTTAGAAAAAAATTGTTTAAAATAAAAATTATAGAAAATTATATTTCAAACAACTTTTGTTTAAACAATTTTTATAAAAAAATATTTTTTTTTCATTTTGTCAAATTTCTCGAATACGGACCATTTTAGGAAACTTTAATATAAAACAAAAATTATAGATAATAATATTCTTAGTAATTTTTATTTGAAGAATTTTCTTCTTCAAACCTAAATAACAGATATATTCCATAAAATATAAAAATAGCCACCTATAAAGTATCCCCCAGATGCATCTGTATACAGATAGGAAAATAAAAAAGGAAATAATTTGAAAATCAAATATGATTAAATTGTTTGGTCTTTTCTATGCCACAGGGCTTTTGAACTAATTACCAAAATTGTATAAAGTTCCTTTAAAAAAATACAAAAAAATATTTATTCTATACCTAGTTATACTATTAATATACCGACATTTTTTGTCAAATAAACATTTATCCGAAAATTCTTCGTTTCCAAGTTTATAACATATTATTTTGACAATTAAAAACCACCATTTTATCTTACAGACATTCTATTTTTTTAGGCACGCTGTTCAGCTTCATGATAACAACTCACATAACATGGACATCTTCTGTTCTTCCAAAATTGACGAATGCAGCCACCAGCCCTTTCGGTAGAGCCATCAACAAAAGCGAAGCTAGTTGGATCACCTCCATATTCGCCTTGGGTTCCATTTTGGGCACTTACGTATTCAATTACCTCTCAGGAAAAGCAGGAAAGAAACTGACTTTACTATCAGCTGGAATACCCTGCCTTGTTTCAAATATTATTATTTATTTTACTGATTCTGTAATGATGTATATAGTAGCAAGATTCATAGTAGGTTTATCAATAGGTACACTGTTTTTATTTCCTATTTATGTAGCAGAATTAACGCATAAAAACATGAGGCAGGTTATAAGCATAATTTGCAGCACTGGTACTTGTTCAGGGATGCTTTTTTCTAACTGCATAGGACCTTTTGTTAGCATTCAAATGTTCAGTCTGTTACTAGGTACAATTTCAGCTATATTCATAATATATTTTGCTGTTTTTGGACAAGAAGTACCTCATTATTATATAATGAAGAACCAAGATATCCTCGCTAGAGAAGCTTTAGAAAAATTACGAGGAGGATACGAAAATATCGACGAAGCTTTTGACGAAATCAGAAGCAAGTATGAAGAAGAAAAAGCTGGTAAGCTTAAAGAATTGTTCGTATCAAAGCCTTTGATAAAAGGCTTTGTAACTTGTACATTATTGTTATTATTCAACCAGTTGTCTGGTAAAAATATTATTATTTTTTATGGACAGAATATTATTAGAGGTGTGAACCCCGAGCTGTCACCGGAAATCAGCATGATCCTATTGACAGTTGTTATATTTATAACCACATTGATGGCGTCGCCTGTATGCTGTAGATTCCCTAAAAGGACACTATTAATATTTTCTGGAGTAGGTATGTTTTTATCAGAAGCTGTATTAGCGATTTATATTTATTCAGAACGTAATTTTGATTTACCGAAATCATTAAATTGTTTACCACTTGTATGTTTAACAATGTTCATCGCTGCTAACAGCATAGGGTTTGGTCCATTACCATTCATAATTTTAGGAGAAATGTTCCCAAATAGAACCAAAGCAGTGGCGGCGTCTTCTGTAGGACTAATCATCGGGATAGTGGGGTTCATTTTGACGAAATATTTCATGTATGTTGTTGACGTCATCGGAATGGATGGATTTTTTATGTGTTGTGCTATTTGTTGTTTATTTTCGACTTTCTTTATACGATTTTATGTTATTGAAACGAAAGACAAAAGTTTGGAAGAGATACAATATGAACTATCTCTGTAATTATTTTTTTTTTGTTAAATATTGAATCCAATTTGGCTGGACCAAATTGATTGTTAAATTATTGTATTTACGTTATTTACATTTTTTTGTAATTGTTATTGACTATATATATTTGTTATAATGAATGTTTCAAATCATATTTTTAAAACGAAATGAGATTTTTAATAAATAATATTTATTTTTAAATTTTTTATTTTGATTTGGAACAATCTGTATATTTTTTGTACGATATTTTCAAAAATATATGTATTTTATTAAATAAATTATTAAAAAAATGCAATGGTTTGATTATATAAAAAAAGAAAAGCATAGAAATTGAAGGGAATCAACTTTTAATTGAGGATTTATAGAATTTACAAGCTAAATATTATTTAAAAAAAAAGATAATTAAGGGGGTAAAAACGAAGTGAATTTTAATAAAGGGATTTCAAAAATTGAAATATTGCGATTAAGGTTTTACTTACAAAATAGATAGTTTTTATTTCATGTCTTAAATCGTGAAAATTTCTATTTAAATTATCTTTTAATAAATAATTAAATATAAATGAGCACCTCTTGAATTTTTTCCAGAGAGAAGGGTAATATCAATGAGGTTCAATACTATGGAGATGATGACATGCCAAAAAAAACGACACTTCTTCCCCCTCTCTTAGTGGTCATGTCATAGTTGTCAAAGAGCTGTCAGAACCTTGTTCAAATTTAAACATTTCGACGGTATTTCTATCTTAATAAGTGTTTTTTTTTATTAATTTGTATAAAAATCATGACTAAGTGTGCCAAAATTAATTGTAAAAACTCTTCAGTGAAAGAGCGTAAGAAAATATCTAATTTAAGTTTTCATAAGTAAGTATAAGGAGTGTACTTAGAATTTTTTTTAGAATGCTTAACTTTTTTTTATTATAGGTTTCCAAAAGACCCACAATATCTCAAAATTTGGTCTAAATTTGTGGGAAAAGACCAATTTGAGCCTAATCCGAATAGTATGTTGTGCTCTATTCACTTCAAGGAAGAATTTTTTGATAAGAGTGAGTTTAGGGTCAGATTGAAGAAGAATGCTGTTCCGACAATAAATGAATGTTTAGTTAGTATACACTTTATTTACAATAAAACTTAAATAACTAACCTAATAAAGAATATTGGCTTGAATAACTTTATAATAAAGACAAATAACTATATTAAAACTTAGATAACTATAATAAAACTTAAATAACTAACTTTATAATTAAACTTAAAAACCAACTATAATTAAACTTAAAAATCAACTTATAATTAAACTTAAAAACCAACTTATAATTACACTGAAATGACTAACTTTTTAAGTAACACATAATTTAGAATAAAATTTCAAGTATTTAAAAGCAGTTTTTATTAGATCCTAATTTCCTATTATTATACCGTTTTGATAATGAATATACTGTATAATAATAAATACTGGTGGTGTATTTTTATTATTTAATTAGATTTGTGGCCATCACTCACTGCTATGTACCTCCTCATTCTCATGATATAAAATAATATGCCCGCTCATGTACCACATTACAATTATCATTAATATTAAATGAACAAACATTAAATTGATGTCCCTTAATTTAAAAACCTGCCGACTTTGTTCACAATACACAATAAATATAATTTAAAACATATTACGAAGTTAGATATTTAAAAATTAGTAGTTTTGGAACTTAAACTAGTAGTTTTTGTATCGTGGATCTATATTTAAGGCTTTATAACATACCAAATCTTGTTCCAGACTAACCCATCCATACCTACACCTCCTCCTCCAAAAATCAGGATCCTATCAAATATTCTTAATAAACCAGCAAATCAAACGTCAGATCGAATTACCTGTACCCTCTACTTCTTCTCTAAATATTCCATATGAAGAACCGCTGACGCCAAAGAAACAAAAAATATTACATACACTCTCCTCTGTCCGGGCAATAAGTGCAAAAAGAAAGCAAAAATTAAAATTGCTAAGACGACAACTTACTCGAAAAGTGAATAAAATTGCCAACTTAAAAAATATATTAAATGATTTAAGTAAAAAACGTTTGATACAGGAAGATGAGTTAGATATAATGTCAAAACTTGGGGGCCCCATCGAGATATGTAGCAGGCAATTAAAAAAAAGTCTAACCTACCATTGCCTAAGAAGTATTCAGAAGAGCTAAAAGTGTTTTCCTTAAGAGCGATATCCATGCGACACCTAACAGCAAATTCAGGTTTAGAACACACTGACAACTTTCAGTGCATCTGAACGCACTTTGGCAACGTTGCTCTAACTATTCCCAGACTTACGCTCCCTTCAATTTATTACTTATAAACTATAGATGATTTAAAATATAAAAAAGGCCGATAAATCGCAGGTCCGGTCTAACAAAGAGTATTTCTGTTTTGTTTTCTCATTTAAAATATTTTTTAAAGGTATAACCTGGTGTAACATTTTCGAAACTCTTTTTTCTAACTAATAATTTAATAATTAATAATTTATTTACGAAATATATTTTTAAATATACATATGTATTTCTTATGATTATTTCGAAAACATATCTAAAAAGTACCTATTTCTACATTTTCTTATATACAGGGTGTTTGTTGGTAAGTGTGAATGATTTTAGGGAATGCTTGCAGAAGTTATTATATAAAAAAACATAGATCAAAAAAGTCAGTGGCGCAGAATTTTTTTATTTAAAAAAGTGGCATTCTCGCACAAACGCCACTGCTGCAAGTAGAAATATTTGGAACATCCCAAAAAATACACATTTGTCCCTTCAAAGTTTTTTTGCAAATTTAGAGTAAATATCTTTAAAACTATTTGAAATAATTAATAAAATTTAATAAATTAAAATTTAAACATTCTGTATCCCGGAAACGAAGCATATTTCGACCTACTTTTATAGGAACTTTAATAACAATTTGCAAAAATCTTTCGTACTTATTTACAAATAACCTGTATAAAAATACGTTTTTTAAATAATAATCCATTTAATACTAGTTTGTGCAACAACAGTGGACAATCCACTGGAGTTGTACAGTATGTTTTTTTCTACGACCCACTAACGAAAATCTACAAATTTAAAGTATTATTTTAGGAAAAGACAAAATAACTAATTTTAAAATAATTTATGACTTTACTAATTTGTGAAATAAAATAAACTTGAAGCCCAGATTTGAACTAGGGCCTCTCGCGTGAAAGACAGATGGCGTATCCTCATTTTCACTTCTACATTTGGAATTTTAGTTCTAATAGTAATTAAATTAGTTTCATATAAGTAGTTTGATTCAAATTTAAGATTTTTTAAAATGTGGTCCAAATAAAAATAAATTAAAATTATTTATGGATTCTACTCAAAAATAACTCATTTTAAATATTTTAATGTGTATTTAATCTCAATACCTAAAAAATATACTGACAATTAGTTTGACAGAATTGCCACTTATTTAAAATGTTTAAAATAATAGTAGTGGGTGTCCAATATATAAACTGTGATTGGTGGATTTCATTTTTTTTGCAGTGTTCTCACTACCTAAAATGGATATGAAATATATTCGTCGAGTTGAACGCAATAGTATATTTTTTCATTTTGTAGTCTGTGCGTGAATAGTAGTTTGTGCAACAAAATTGGATATGATGGTTATATCGCACGAAGACGAAGTTTGAGAACGACGTCGTAGACGGAGTGGTTAATCGTCTAAGTGCAATACGGACAATCCACTCGAGTTATACAGTATATTTTTTCTACGACACACTAACGAAATTCTACAAATTTAAAAAAGTATGTTATTAAGACAAAATAAATAATTTTAAAATAATGTATGACTTTTACTAATTTATAAAATAAAATAAATAATTTAATTAGTCCCCAGCCCTGATTTAAACTCAGGCCTCTTGCTTGGAGACAAACTCATCCGTGCCTTCACGCCATCGCCACAATTGCCATTTTAGTTCTAATACTTGTAATTAAATTAGTTTTATATGGTTTAATTAAAATGTAAGATTTGTTTGTAAATTTGGACGAAATAAAAATAGAAATGCTATTACTTATCGATTATACATAAGAAATATTCATTTTTACGTATTGTAACCATAGTCTAATTTATTTTATAGGTTATTTATTTAAAACACACTATTTACAATTTATTTCAGACGTACTAATTAATTTATATAATACTTAGACTCTGACTAACAATTCTAAATTATTTATTACAATTTAACTTTTCATTCCAATACTCTGTACTAAACTAAACAGCCCGACGATGAGTCGGGCTATTTATATTAAGTCCAACTCTGCTACTAGAAGTCTCTAGACGGTCCAGAAAATTTCATCTCTGACTCAACGGCACACTCTACCAGGTTTCTCTAGCCTCAGTGGCATTCCCAGAACATTCCGTCGCCTCGAGCATGAGTCGGAGCCAGCTGAAGGTCGCGCTTGCTTTAGACACAGGGTCGGATTAGGAATTTCATGACAGTATATTGAATCTCAATAATTCAAAAATATACTGACAGTTTGACAGAATTGTTACTTACATAAAATTTAAAAAATAATAGTAACCGGGTGACCAAAATATAAGCTGAATGGTGAATTTAACTGTTTTGCAGTGTTCTTACTAGGTAGAATATCAAATATTCAGTTGAACGCAATGGAATACTTTTCTGTTTTGTAGTATGTGCGTAGATTAGCTAATAACCATGTGGGTATAGGAAAAATCATATCCATGTGGGTGTAGAAAATAGTAGTTTGTGTAACAAGAGTGAATTTAAATTAAATGGATTTCATATAGTTTTATTAAAATTTATAATTATTTCTAAATATAGATCAAATAAACATAGAAATGCTATTATTTATCGATTCTACACAAGTATAACTCATTTTACGCAATAGCATATTTTTCGTTTTGTATTCTGTACGTAGATAAGCTAATATCCATTTGGGTGTAGAAAAAATTGTTTTCCAGTACTAAAAATATATAAAAATAACATTGAGTAAAATGATTTATTATTAGTAAAAGAAGAAATAAAAATAATCATCTTTATTGACTATTGGTCGGATTTCTACTCGGATTTCTACTAGGTTTTCTACTCGGTTTTCTACTCGGATTTCTACTGGGATTTCTAAAATCTTAACCTCTAGCGAAACGTGGATCTAAGATCTCGGG